ATTATATTATATTTATTTATTATTTTATAAAATTAATAATTATTGCAATAAAAAATATAAAAAAAAATACACTTAATTACTTTTAAATATACTCTTGTTTCAAATAACTATTGTTAATTATTGTATAACTAAACAGTTAAACAATTCAAAATTCATTATTTACTATCTATTATTTGTCATTTACTATCTACTAACTATTAATTGTTACTCATTACTTACTACCACCATATGCTATCTGTTACCTATTACTTATTATCTGTTAGATTTTAATTGTTATACTAGATAGGTCCTAAGCTCTTAAATTTGCTGAGTTATCAATTTTAAGTTTGAACAAAAAAGATGACATATAGACCCTCAAACTCCTTGGGCACACAAATTGGCCATTCTTTAACGATAGAACGGCACATGACATCACGTGATGTCTATTTGCTATTTTTCACACGCTCATGTGGCATCAATGATGTGCATTTGCTATTTTCCACATGTTCATGTGGAATTAATAACATTTTGGGTTAAGTGGAAGGAACTCAATTTTTTTTTAAAATAAAATCTCAAGTTTTAATTTTATGAATAGAAAAATAGGTGTTGAGAAAACTTCTTCTCTTGTAGGGTACAATGCGGATTGACTTTGAATTAATTGGAATTTAATGTGACTATTAAATATTGGGGGTTAATAAAAAAAAAATGTTCATGTGGCTTTTTTATCATGCAAGGGAAAAAGGAAGGGAATGAGAGAGGCATGGGTAGAGAAGGATTACGATTGAAATCTAAAGCGTAATAAGAGGGTGGGATCAATATTTCTTCTTCCTTTCTTTATTATAATTATTATTTTTCATTTATCTCTCTAAAAAGTTAAATATGACAATTTGATGAATTATTTAGGATTTAAAGGTATTTTGGTTAATTGAAATTATAATCTTTTAGTAATTTTATGTAAATTTGTAAGGTTCTTTGTTTTTAAATAGTACACACCACTGAAAGATAAAATATATAGAAATTGATTTTGTTAAATTAATGATTTAATCTTAAGTCTTATAAGATTGTATTAATTTTTAAGTCTTTAAATTAAAATTTAAAATAATTAAAATTTTGAACTTTATGCTTGACTTTTTGGACCATGATAATTTAAATACTTGATAACCTCAGAGCATTTCTATTAGGATACTCTACAAGAATCTCCCAAAATGCCACATCATCATGAATTATATTATTTATTCAAGTCATATGTGTAAAAAAGCCTCAATCTCACACTTGGTTTTGTGGCCTGATGACTCTATATCGTATAGTAAGGTGCATCTCTCCAATTCTAAGGTTAGAATTATAGTTTGAATCCTCTTACACCTAAGTTGTAAATTGTTTAAAAAGAAAAAGAAAAAAAAAAACCTCAATCTCTTGCTCAATAGGAACAATCAAATGTGATTCTTTAAAAGTTACACTAATATTATTTTATTTAACTTATTATCATTAAATTTAATTTCTTTTAAAAGGAAAACAAAAAATAGGGGATACACGCCCTAATGGGGCCCCTTGGGTTATCCCATTGCGACTCTCTAATAGAGATATTCTTAATCCTTAATAGGTTGGTATTTTTATTTTAATTTGAAATTATTCACTAAAATTTAACTTTAAATTATAAAAGATTTTGAATATCTTTCATGTTATAGAAAATTTGATATATAAAATTATAAATGAACTTGATTTTAAAAATACATAATGCATGTTAAAATTTATGCATTACAGTAGTTTAAAATATATATATATATATATTTTTTTGGTACATATATATATATATAAATGAAGTGAAAGTATATATATGGTTATAAATATTCTTTTTTTTATAATAGTTATGCACGCTTTTATTCATAATTATGAGTAACAGGATTAGTACAAAATTGGTCAAATGCCCGCTCCCCTGTTACAAGATGTGCAATAAACTCTGGTGTTTCCCCAAACCAGATTAGATCATCCTCTGCTTGGAGCGTCCTTCTTGCTAGTTCGTGTGGTACGGAATTCCCATTGCGACCAACATGTTGCAGGCGGCAGATGGTGAAAGAGGCCATGAGATTTCAGCAATCCATTAGAATATGTCCAAGGCTGGAGTTGAAGCAGTAAGTATCACAATTGATTGCTGTGACGATGCTTGTGCAATCAGTCTCCACAACAACCTTGTCGAGCATAAGGTCTTTCGCCCATTTCAAAGCTTTTCGCAGGCTACATGCTTCACTTACCTCAGCCGAGA